TCAGACCTCACCTGGAGTACTGTGTCCAGTTCTGGGCACCACAGTTCAAGAAGGACACTGACAAACTGGAACGTGTCCAGAGGAGGGCAACCAAAATGGTCAAAGGCCTGGAAACGATGCCTTATGAGGAACGGCTAAGGGAGCTGGGCATGTTTAGCCTGGAGAAGAGGAGGTTAAGGGGTGATATGATAGCCATGTTCAAATATATAAAAGGATGTCACATAGAGGAGGGAGAAAGGTTGTTTTCTGCTGCTCCAGAGAAGCGGACACGGAGCAATGGATCCAAACTACAAGAAAGAAGATTCCACCTAAACATTAGGAAGAACTTCCTGACAGTAAGAGCTGTTCGACAGTGGAATTTGCTGCCAAGGAGTGTGGTGGAGTCTCCTTCTTTGGAGGTCTTTAAGCAGAGGCTTGACAACCATATGTCAGGAGTGCTCTGATGGTGTTTCCTGCTTGGCAGGGGGTTGGACTCGATGGCCCTTGTGGTCTCTTCCAACTCTATGATTCTATGATTCTATGATTCTATGATTCTATGATTCTATGCCAGTTTTCATTTTAGCCTTTCAGTAGTTAGAACAGCTGAACAGCCCACCAGTGGCCCTTTGGAAGCTCAAATCTGTTGCTTTTTCTATCTTCTAGGACTACAGAGGTAGTTATCAGTGGTCTGTGTTGGCTTGGTAGATCACAAAACATGCAAGCTTAAGCTAGCAAGACCACATGAAACCATATAGCAGGGCATGTAGGACATCAAGATGCCTCCTTTGTTTCTGTAAATCAGTGCAATGCAATGGTTCCCTAGGAAAGGCAAACTTTTAAAAATCATTGTTGTAAAGCAATGTCCTTTGTACAGTCATACCTCGGGTTACATATTTTTCCGGTTGTGCAATTTTGGGTTGCGTTGCGCACCGCACTGAACCTGGAACTACTGGAACGGGTTACTTCCAGGATTCGGTGCTTGCGTATGCGCCAAATCATGACTCATGCGTGTGCAGACGTGGTGCTGCGGGTTGCGGACACTGCAGGTTCTGAATGTACTTCCTGCATGGATCACGTTCACAACCCAAGTGTCCACTGTACAAGCTTATACGCCAAAGGAAAATTCAATTTCCAGTATTGAAATGATACAAGGGTGGTGGCAATTAGATTGCAGTACAGTGATCAATGATACAGGGCTATATCTTCATCACAGATTAGTGATAAACTCTCCCAGTCAGAAAAGACACATTAACCAAATATCTTGGTTAATACTAGTTCCACTTCCAAGCCTGTCATGACCCAATGCATCAGGTTCTGGTTCCCATCTCCAAATCTCCTATCATCTGCAATCTCTGGCACACTCCCCCTTAGTTTTGTTAGTTTAATGAAGGGAAAGAGCAAGAGAGAGGGAACTACATTTCCCATTGCTCTTTGCAGGATGTTGGGCATCAGAGAGGAAAGGTGGAAGAGAGAAAGACCTCTCTCCCTCCCTCATACCCACCTTGTGATAAACAACGGTAATGGGAGTGTGGAGGAGGTTTCTGGAGGTGAGAGTGTGTCAGGCAAAGCAGGAAGGAAATCTAGTTTGCATTACATCTTAGCCACAGAAGAACATTTAGATTAGCCTTGCTATTAAGATGAAAGTCTCAGAGGAGATCTGTCAGATTAAAAAGACTCAGTCTTTTCCCAAACCTTTGTGGAGCAAGTTGCTCACTTGGATCTATCCATGGTACTGAAACATTTGCCCAGTTTAATTGTCTTTGGGATTCTGAAATGGACCAGAATATGACACACGCAAATTCATATTTCTGAGCTTGCAAATACAAATTTCATTGCCACCACTAGAACATATTTCAGCTGATTAATATGCTCTTCCTCTCAGGAAATTCTGGGAAATACATTTCTGTTGGGGATGAGGCTAGAGATCTCTCCCAGAGAATACTCAGTACCCTCACCAATCTACAGTAAATGTAGATTGCCTAAGTGTTTGATTTAACCCATCGCAGTAGCAAATGGTACAGATATTAGCAAAGAGAGGAAACAGGAGCAAACTCCATCTATATGTTTTCTGTTATGATGGTCCAAGTTTCTGAAGTAAGAACAACGCATAAGCATTATGAATTTGTGACAACCCCGGTGCTTAACCATGCGTCCTTGTTTTCTCTGGCTGTAGTTAGCTGGGAAGAAGGACACTCAGTGTTCTTTCTTTTGCCTGGGCACAAAACTGGTCCCAGACTTTATTCCATGCTATTCAGTAATGACATAAACATATGGCGCTGCAGAGGCTGGATGGTGGACAGGTGTTGATGATTATGCCTTGTAAATATGAAAGCAATTGCCCACACCTGTTCTCTCTTTTCTTGGGCACCTTCCAGGTATTTAGTGAACACCCACAGTATGAAATTGGTCCCAAGTTAAGTCAACCTGCAGGCAGTGTTCACTTTGAAAAAGTTCCTTATTGTTCCTGTACATAGCTGTTGCTTTACTAACCCTACCCAAGACATAGTGTGTCTGTGCAAACATAAGAATTGAGCTCCATGGATTTAAAAAAATGAGATCAAAGCATTCTACATTATGACAAGCCAAAATGACTCAAATTCTCAGGACTTAGAAATGTGCATCATAGTGTATCAGTCAACTCCTCTTCCCAGTAACATCTGGGAAATGTAGCTCTCTGATGGGAATAGGGATCTCCAAACAACTCTCAGCACCCTTAAAAAACTAAAGTTGCCAGGATTATTTGGTGAAAGCCATGATGGTTGAAAGTAGTATAACAGTGCTTTAAATATGTAGTGCAGATGGGGCCTCTGAAATCTAGCAGACAGGCTAACATGTTGATAATATTAATGTATGTAAATTTTGTGCCTGCAGACCTCTTTCTGCCCTGCATTCCATGGATTTTCTAGAATTCATGTAAAAAAGAAAATATAAACATCAAGGGTTTGGGTGCAAACAATCAGATTTTCTTTTTTACTTCAATTTATTGCCCACACATAACTTAATGCCTTTTTTTAAAAAAGCATGCACTTTAACTCCTGTTGATACTGTCAGTTTGCGTATAAATGTCACTGCAGAATTTAATTCCTTTTCAAATTAAATGGCTGATTTGGTAGAATCATAGTGTTCTATGAACCTTGGAAAAATAATATCAATCTCAAAAGAAGATGTTTGAGGAAGTGTGCATCGTATCATTTTTTCCTATAATTTATTTTCTAGCTTTTTCTTCTTCTATGGTTTTATTCCCTGCACCCATTCCATCCTGTTTGTCATTGTGCCATGCTTCCATTCTACACTTTGCAAGGAGAAATGTTCTCTGACATGAGCCGCATCATCATTAGAGGTGAAGGAGTACATTCCCCCCTTTCCAAATTGAATTTATGTATATCTTTTTTCAATTAATGGATCTTTTAATTTGATTTTTCAAAATATGAATATTTGAATGGGCTTTGATTTAGGAAGTCCATCTTAATTAAGGCTATTGGTTTGACAGTCAATAGTTATTAATTACTTCAAATCAAAATATTTCAATTAAGCCCTATAATCTACTAAACAAACATCATTTGGCAAGGAACTGCCTTATGCTGAATCAGACCATTGGCCCCACTAACTCAGTTTTGTCTCCTCTACACCCACTGGCATGACCTCTCCAAGATTTTAGATGGGTCTCTTCTATCCTACCTGGCGATGCCAAGTGTTGGTTCTGGGACCTACTACATGCAAATCAGATGCTTTACCACTCTTGCCTTACATCTCCTTAAGTTTTGGTGATACCATTCTAAACCAGCAATGATAGGAGAAGACAATTCCACAACAGGGAAGGACCCCCCCACCCCAGGGTTGCTACCAGATTAGCTACATTTTCACAGAAGGAGGTGGTCACAACCCACTGAACCTACCTAGTCATAACAAAGGTGGATCTAGGTGAGTTCAACCAGGCACAGAGTTTCTGGGGCACATCAGGGGTCACCACAGCTATGACATCCAAAGGAAGGCAGGAGTCAAGGGGAGCCAGATTTTGGCATCACACAGGATGCCCCTGAAATTTGAGAAGCCCAGGTCTGCCACTGGTCACAACACCCTGGCTCATTTAAATCAGCCATGTTGGGTAAGACTTGAGAGGGCATGTAGTTGACCGCACAGCTGTAAACACCTTGTCCACAGACTAACAATATACAGTGGTACCTTGGTTTTCGAACGTAATCCATTCCAGAAGACTATTTGAGTTCTGAAACGTTTGAAAACCAAAACTCAATAGCTGACAGCCGACAGGGTCTTGCACTCAGCAGAAGCTGCACTTCCTGTTCCGACTTCTGAGGCGGGTTCGAAAACTGAAGCAGTTACTTCTGGGTTTACGGCATTGGAGTTCCAAACCATTTGTCAACGGAGACGTTAAAAAACCGAGGTACCACTATATACAGAAGCAACCTGAAAACATTTAAAATCAATAGAATTTCTCCTTCCAGCGATAAAGTTGAATATTTTCAGTGGTAATTATCATTTATATAAAACAAGTAATAGAATAATAGAAACATAAGTGAGGTGATTTTTTTACCAATACAGTAGAATAGGTGTTTGGCAGGAACTACGCTCTAAGGTTAGGTTCAAATCTTACTCAGCCATCAAGCCTTGGACATGTTGATATTACTCAGTCTCACAAGGACACTGAGAGGATGAAATGAGACTGATCTACCTCAAAATCATTGGGGGAAGAGTGGGGTGCAAACGATAATTAATTTGAGAGTGGTAAAATTGCTTGATTATGGGCATTATTCTCACCATACATTTAAAAAACTATCACACTACTTTATACAGTCATGGCTTCCCCCCCAAAAAATTCTCAGACATGTATTTGATTAAGGGTGCTGAGCGTTGTTTATTCCCCTCCCAGGGCTACATTTTCCAGACTGGTTTAACCATCAATCTCTCTTCACAGGGAACTCTGGCAATTGGAGTTCTGGGAAGGGAATAGGGGATCTCCTAACAATTCTCAGCACTCTTTTCAAACTGCCACTCCCACAATTCTTAGAGTGAATCCATGACTGTTTGAAGGGGTATCATAGTCTGTTAAATGTGTGGCATGGATGTGGCCTCTGATCTGAAAAGCAGAAAGCAGACAAGTTCAGATTTATTTATTATTAAACAACTAACTGTAATGATAACAGCCTGCTTTCCTTATGCACTGGTGCTGAAAAGGGCAAGGAAAGCTGTCTTGTTGTTGTTGTTTTGGATATAGGTAGGTAGCCATGTTGGTCTGCCGTAGTCGAGACAAAATAAAAAAAAAATCATTCTAATAGCACCTTAGAGACCAACTAAGTTTGTTATTGGTATGAGCTTTCGTGTGCATGCACACTTCTTCAGATACTATTTTTTTAAATGTTGTTTTTATTTTGTTTTGTTTTTGTTTTTTGTTTAGGTAACAGACAGGCCCCTTCCTCCATCCTCCCCATGGCTACAGACCTTTGTTCTACCAAATTGTTTGTCCTTGATAATGTTGCTTATCCAGAGATAGCCCAATTATAGCGGTTAGCCCAGTTATATAGCCCAGTTATAGCGGTTAGATGTGATTCATTCCTTATTAATAAATCTAGCAAAAAGACAAAGCTATGGCGCAAATGTGGATTGTAAAATACACTTATTTCCCAGTATGGGGTCAAGTCCACTATGATGTGCCTGGCAACTTATCTATTTCTAATACAAACAGAGTAAAATCCTTTGAGCGGAGGTAATAGCTCTGTAATGTTACAAACCTGGATCAGATCAAGGGTCTTAAATTGGGATCAGGTACTGTTGAAGCAAAGAGTCAGATAATGCAATATAAACATTAGTCTATGCTAGCATGTCTCCAGCGATTTCCTATCCCCCATTTGGTATTTTGTCTGAGCTTTAAATAAAAAGAAATAGATTCTAACAGAATGGATGGGGCTTCTGATCATCTGGTAGGGAAAGGGAACTACTCACACATTTGTAAAAGGTGATTCCTACCCCATTGTATTTACCCAAATAGGTAATTTATCAGATTTTATCCAAATAGATAATTTGCCCACTTTATCCAATTCTATGTGTTATTCCTACCAATTTGAGATTCAGAAATGAAAAAAACAAACAAAAACTTTTCATGTGATATATCAAAGAATTGTAGAATCGGAAAATTGTAGAGTTGGAAGGGACACCAAGGCTCATTTTGCCCATCCCCCTGCAATGCAGGAATCTCGGCTAAATCAGCCATGACAGATGACAGATATGACTGGTGGCAAATAGCTGTTTGTCTCAGAATCAGGTTCTCTGGCTAAGGGTCCCTGAGGTCACTTGACAAAATTAGGAGCTAGAGAAACAGTCTGAGGGAAAGCCATGCTCTAAGTTTTTGTTTTTAATTTGGTCAACCCAGATACTTTATTTATTCACAGGCCACTCTTAACTGGAAGGCCCCAAGGTGGAAATGTGTAAAATGAAAGCAAAAATTGAGCAATAGAGTGGTACCTCAGGTTAAGAACGTAATTCATTCTGGAGTTCTTAACCTGAAACTGTTCTTAACCTGAGGTACCACTTTAGCTATTGGGGCCTCCCGCTGCTGCCGTGCCACAGGACCACGATTTCTGTTCTCATCCTGAAGCAAAGTTCTTAAGCCGAGGTACTATTTCTGGGTTAGCGGAGTTTGTAACCTAAACCTAAAACTAGCCAACATAAATGCCACACAAATAATACAGGTACAGTAATAAAGGGCATTGTGATGTCTGCCTGTTATAGGGGCCATTGCTGAAAAGCTCTGTTCCCTTTTGTGACAGAGGCAGTGTGGTGCATTTGTTAGAACTGGGGTTGGGTATCTCAGGCCCAGGAACCAAATGTGGCTCTTGGGACTCTCCCCAAGCCATACGCCCTTCCCAGATCAGAGACCTTTTCCCCACAAGGATGGAGGAGAACCATGTACACCACCTTGAGAGCTTCAGAGGATCTAAGAGTTATAATAAATGAACAAATAAAATAAAAGGGCCAGTGGACTAACCATATACAATGAATGACAACTTAAGGTTCTGAGTTTTGGATCTAGCCATTAAAGTCTTAAGTTGCTTGAGTTCCAGAGTACCAGACAATGTGGACAATATTCAAAATAGGTATATAAGGGCAGGTCAGAATGGAATGTGCTGTTATGGGGGTGGGGTGTCACGTGATCTTTTTTTAACCTAGTGACTCTGGTGGGAAAAGGAGTCAGTTTGCATTTCCTAGTACCGAAATGTGTAGAGATCTTTCCTGTTCTGCTTTGTTCAAGAGGGTTCTAGAAGGTTTTATCTCTGTGTGAAAGAAGGTTCTTGTTCGGGTTATTCCTTCTGAGAAGCTGAGTACAGCTAGTTTGAACTGGTTCTATTATCTTTCTGTCAAGGTCACGCTGACTACAATAGTCAGGGTAGAAGGAGACTGGATTTCACTTACTTTCTCTTTCTATCTCTTTGTTCTGGTGTGGTGTTCTGTTCATATATAATGTTTAGTCTTATTTTAAGTTATTGTTAAATTTTAAGTTAAGTCTGCTGCAACTGGATTTCTTCTGGATTGTGCCAATCCTGAATGTATTGGATTTGTGACTGTTATACTCATTTGCCTTCAGTAGCAGTAAAGCTTTGCTGGACAATTGCCTCTGGTCTATTGTTTGGCAACTCTGCAACATGTTTAAGTTTCCCCCCCACACGTGACAAATGGTCCAGGATTAGCAGGAGTATAGGAACCTTGCCCAGAGATGTTCCTCTTATAAACTCAGGTGATGCATAAGCCAGAAAAGTTGGAAGATGACACTCTCACTTGTGTTCTGCCTGGCCAGGAGAGGAGGGCAAGCTAAGCCTGAAGCTTTTGGTGGCAGGCTGAGATTCACAGGAGACTGACTCCTGGGTGAGAACTGTACCCCTAAAGCTTTTCACTGCTCTGAACTGGGGTGCATGTGTATGTATAACAATATTGTTCTGGAAGCAAGGGAGGACTTTGGTAATATCGCACCAGAGTATGGCCAAAATTTGGTGTCCCCAAATGGATCTTCTCACTTATGGAACTTCTCAGTTTTGCACCCCCTTGGCTTCGTACCCTGTGTGTGGGAACCACCTCCACCGAATTAAATCCTGCACTGCTGGAAGAGAGCCACTGATCATTTTTAATAGGAAAGAATAAAGCTAGATAGCCTTGGATCTGGCACAGAATACTGGGCTTATTGAGTATCAGGTTTCTATTAAATCACATTCTCATTCAAAAGGATAGTTCATATTGTAATTGAAGATGTCACCCTTCACTCATTTCAGATAGAATTACTTCATTACTTATTCTTTTGTACTTTGAGTCTATTTATCTCTACTGAAAAAGATAAATACATGATGAAATAGGAACATTGCAAAGAATGATCTTGTCAAATCACTGCTAAAACAGAAAGAATTCTGATTCTTAGAAACAATTGTGCTCTCTTAAGCAGCTACCCCCATCAACAGCAAAAGGCTTTATAGATTTATCTCTAACAGACTTTGAAAATGAAACATAAGAACCAGACATTTCACAAGAATTACTTGGCGCAAAATGTCAGATCTCCAAGATAATACGTTAATTAGCTAGCAACTTTTCCAGTGCAGGAAAATAAAAAAAATAATTGAAAAAATGAATTATTAAAGTATTCCAAAGATGACTGATGCTGAATGCCAGCATTCCTTAAAATCATAGTGTTATTATGCTAACAGTTACAGAAGCTATTAGCATTTTTTTTAAAAAAGAGAACTCACAAACATGTAAAACATCTCTTTATTTGTTGTTAAAGCCCAAGCCTTTCCTGTATGTTCTGGGTGGATCATTACAACTTTACCAAAAATGGCAGAGCTATCACTGTCACTGTAAATGAATCGGACAGACAAGTTTCTGGAAAAGATAGGAAGATAAAGCAAAATATATAAAATGTAGCCTTCAAAGAACACAGCAATTACATCCCTGGAACTAACCAAAAGCCATCTAGTCCAGCATTTGCTTTCCAAGAGTGACTCTCCATATAATGTTAGAAAGCTCACAAAGAAGGCTAGGTGATAGCCTTCCCCCAATATTTGTTGTTAAGTATAATTATTTAATTTCCTGAAATTGGGAATGCTTAAATGCATTACTGTGTGTTTAATTCTGGAATGTTTGAACAGTAACTCTTGTGTGATTGGTTAACTCTGGGTCACATGGGAGGTTAAAAGTTTTTTGTTTTTTTTAAAGATAAAGGTCCCCTGGATGGTTAAATCCAGTCAAAGGCAACTATGGGATGTGGCGCTCATCTCACTTTTCAGACTGATACATGGGAGGTATCTTATTACAGTCTCCATTTTGTTTTGTGTGTGAGTGACTTGACTCACCGACACACAAAACATGAACGCTGAAGAAAAGAAAGTGATAGAGTACTCTTTCTCTCCCTGAACACAATAGAGGGGTGGAGCGCTATCGTTTCTGCGTGAATGTATGTAACTAATAGAAGTACAGAAGTTGATGTTCTTCCAAAAAAGCAGTAAGAAGAAGTCTGCCAGAAAGACAAAGAAGGAACCTCTTAGGAGGAACTAGCTGGGTCATGTGCAGAAGGCTGAGAGCGAGTATTGGAAACAGAGAAAGACACAGTTTGTTTGACTGTTTACGAAGGAAGCAGTAATCTTCAACTAAGTGAAAATTAAGCCCATGCTTGGATAAGCATGTGAACATAAATTCTTCACATATATTCTTCTATATGCTCCTCAAATAAAAGGCTTCTGAGTATTTTAACACGTCTTTGGACATTTCAATTTCAAGAAAAAGAGTCAGTATTGCACATGATTGGCTCCCTAGCGGCAATTTAACTACTCTTCCAATGTTTGCTCCCAGCATGGGGTTGGGGTGGGTGGGGGTTAGTTCAGTAGGAAAGCAGAATGTCCCAGAAATCTCCACATAAAGAAAAAAAGGTAAAGGACCCCTGGAGAGTTAAGTCCAGTCAAAGGTGACTATGGGGTTGCGGCGCTCATCTTGCTTTTAGGCATTTGTCCACAAACAGCTTTCCGGGTCATGTGGCCAGCATGTACGTGGCTCAACCGTACAGGCTGAGGTACATTTGCCCCCCCCCCAAAAAAAAAAATTGAGGGGGCTGGACCCACCTCCCCAAGTTGATGGGCATTGCCATTCAAATGGTGTGTGTGCCACATCATGTGATCGACTATGTGAGGTGGGGTTTACCTGCACCCCACCAATATTTTATTCAAGTTGGCACCCTTGCTTCACAGGGAGCAGGCAATGAGCACTGGAAGTGATTGGAACATTCAGTCGCTCCAAGGGATGGGGCTTGCTACTTCTCTGTGGTTCTTGTTACACCAGCCTCTGTGTGACCCCCTAAATATGCTCCACAGGGTTGGGGAAAACCCAGAACAGATTTAGGGGGCACAGGGGGACACAGGGGAAGAGGAAAGGGCAGGGAAGCTCTATTGCACAGCAAAAAGTCATTGCGTTAGTGGAACTGTTTAGTTGGATACCGCCCACTTCTTCCTTCAGTAAAACACAATCTATAATTAAAGCAATTCCTTTCATTCTGTTAATGGTTCTCACTAATACATTCAACATCAATTGTTTATTCCGTCCTCCCCGCGTATATAATTGAACACATACATTACAGCGAGTTTGGGCTAATTCCTACAGTCTTTTAATAGGTTTTATGCTTTATCGTTTCTTTCATTCAGCTTTCCACGTAATCATTGCTTAAGTTCAGTGGAAGGTCATGTGTATTTTGGGTGTGTGGCTGTAATTAATATTTCATTATCTCTTTAGATTTCCAGGGAGAAAAAAATGTGGTCCCATGCACGAAAACAAAAGAAAACCCAACTCCAAATAAGTAAATCAATGAAGTAGCAAGCTGGTTTTTGGAGCATATAATACAAATGTCAGCAGCAAATTGGGTGCAAATTCAAGATTCATTGTATCCAAATGTGTGTAGTTAAGCGTTGATCATGTGAGGCCTGCCACAAATCCTCTAGGGCTGGGGTCACAAACATAGTCTCCTGGTGCCACTGTGCCTGACAGTACCTCCAATGGCAGTTGCAAAAAGTTTCCTCACAAAGACACAATGGATGCGAGGCTTTTTGCTTCTCCTGCATGGAACATGCCCTCTTAAACATGGCCACATTTCACTGAATGCCAAGATCGGACACCCATTCCAGAAAGGTGCAAACATAGTCTGTCAGTGAGTAAATAAGGTGGTAGATTACATAGGTGCCTTTTTAGTTGGGTGTGTGTGTGTGTGGTGGATTGGGGGCACACCCATTTTGTGATACTATCTCTTGTTCCACTCTTTTAAATGTGACAGGCATTTTGTGTTGTGCAACATACCTTCTGATTGCTATCTTGTGACTGATGCCCAGGCACCAATCTCAAAACGGCAATTCTCAATATTCCAAATGTGCACACCGTTCAAGAAGATTGGTACTCCCTACTTTTGGGCTGCATCTTCATTGTCACTGTGTTTCTTCATTCTTTGAGTCACGTAATATTCCCTTTAAAAATGTGGTGAGCATTACAACCCTCAAGTTCTTCGCCGGCTCAGATTTCAATCCAAAGCAGAAAAGAAATCTGACCTCTCTCTCTCTCTTTCACTCTCTGTCTCTTCCACCCATTTATCTGAGAGGGATGATGAGGATGAAAAAGAGTTGCACTTCGCCATAAGCAGCAAAGAGTGGGAAGCCTGAAGCACTGGCTGCAGGTCTCTTAGTTTTAACCTTCCTTATGTTATTCCTTTGCAAAGTGATCGTGGTGCCTCCAGTATTGTTTTGTAGAGTCACCACTTTATGAAAGAATGAAGCAAAGGGAACTGTCTTTGATAAAAGGGTTTTGCATTAAAAACATGTTAGGCACTTTCCCAAAAATTATCAACACCTGCGGAGGTCTCCCCCAGTGTGTGCATGTTCTTTGGCTTTGCTCCTTTTCTATAGAGCCATAGTTGCTTGTATTGCAATTTCAAAGTGTTTACACAAGCTAAACTATGTTTGATGGGTTACTTGAAGAGCAATCCAAGTACTTGGTTGTCTTAATGCACTCCATGACACATGGCATTCAGAATGAACCTAAGGGGTCTAAATTGTGAAAATAGGCAGCTCTATTGTTGGAGTGGAACACCCCACCCCACCCCCGCTTTGCTGCGTTAAGGCTCCAGAAATTTTAAATTGATGTGTTTCTTCCATAGTGGCAGAGAACGACCTTTCTTATTTAACCTCAATCTTATGTGTGACAGATTGCAATGAGTCCGACACATTGGACTGTACAAATGCATTTGTGTGGGGTGTGAGAACAAGGCCTGGTCTGCCCATATAATAAAAAAAGAAACTATGCATTTTCCCCCTTTCTGTGAATGAAAGAATCCATAAACTAAGAGCACTGCAAAGCTAAGAGAACAACCTCTCTCTGACCAAATGCTCATGAAACAAACATTATTTGAACTCTGCTAAACCAATATATGCCACAAAGTTCTGTGAATGGGAGAGCTACTTTTTAAACCTAATACAGTTGTACCTTGGAAGTCTAACAGAATCCATTCTGGAAGTCTGTTTGACTTCCAAAGTGTTTGAAAGCCAAAGTGCGGCTTCTGATTGGCTGCAAGAAACTCCTGCAGCCTATCGGAAGCTGCAGAAGCCCTGTCAGACGTTCAGCTTCCAAGAGAACATTCGAAAACCGGAACAGGCACTTCCGGGTTTTGATCATTCAGGAGTCAAAACATTCAAGAACTAGGCTGTTCGAAAACCAAGGTACAACTGCATGCTGATATTGTGGTGGGTTTGGGGGGTCATGTTTTCAGTTGTGACTTTTAATATGAATCGTTTTGAGTGTTTACCCAAGAACTGAGATATAAATATGTTCATTTACTTGATGATGCTCTCAAAGCAAAAACAATGAAATTCTGTCACATATAATTCATTGGGTAACACAGATAACTAAGTTCACCTTTGGTGGAATCCAACAAGCACACTTGCATTCATGGGAGGGATTTTGATCCAGGGGAGAAATCTGCTAATGGAAGATTGGAGGGAGGATTTTTTTTTATTTTTTTTTGCTAATTGCCCCTCCCCTGCAGTCCCTCCAAATAGCAACTCTTAGAGAGATGGGGATCTAACACATTGAAAGATGACATGGGGGCAGAAGGGGAAAGGGAGAAGTGGTTAGATTAGCAGGTGTGTCTGGTGGATCAAAAGGCCTTCCACAAACACATGAACACTGATTAGATTCCATCCCTTAATGTCTAAAGAGCTGTCACATGGAAGATGGAACAAGCTTGCCTTCTCCTGCTCTGGAGGGTAAGACCCAGACCAATGGAATCAAGTTACAAGAAATGAATTTCTGACTCAACACCAAGGAGAACTTTCTGACAGTAAGAGCTGTTAGACAGTGGAACCGACTCCCTTGGGAGGTTGTGGAAGTTTTTAAGAAGAGGTTGGATGGCCATCTGTCACTGATGATTTAGCTGAGATTCCTGCATTGTAGATCATCATCGGGATCCATTCCAACTCTACAATTCTATGATTTTATCATTGTAGGGTTGCCATATGTCCTCTTTTTCCAGGACAAATCCTCTTTTTCATGGGTATGTAAAATGAGAGTCATCATAGTAATCCATGGTTAAAAGTAAAGGTAAACGGACCCCTGACAATTAGGTCCAGTCATAGCCGACTCTGGGGTTGCGGTGCTCATCTCGCTTTATTGGCCGAGGGAGCCGGCGTACAGCTTCCGGGTCATGTGGCCAACATGACTATGCCACTTCTGGTGAACCAGAGCAGCGCACGGAAATGCCGTTTACCTTCCCGCCAGAGCGGTACCTATTTATCTACTTGCACGTTGACGTGCTTTCAAACTGCTAGGTTGGCAGGAGCAGGGACTGAGCAATGGGAGCTCACCCCGTTGCGGGGATTCAAACCGCCAACCTTCTGATCGACAAGTCCTAGGCTCTGTGGTTTAACCCACAGCGCCATCCGCGTCCCATAGTTAAAAGTAGAAGTCGGCAAATGTGTCCTTTTTTTGGTCTTCAAAATATGGCAACCCTAAATTGTTCCTCCGTCTCCCACATAGCCCTGGTCTTGAATTCCTTTATTGATCATGCTGGAGTGTGACAACGTGTCCAGAATTGTAATATGCAATACAGCAAATTAATTTTCGAAATGCTTTGAGGCTGAAATCCCATTGAACTTCTGAGCAGACACATAGAGGAGAGCACTGGAAACCTTTGTTAAAATTCCCTCTTGCCAGATGCTTAACTCTGAGCTTATGGTAGATATTGGACCTGACCCAAGAAGTCACTCAGGGATAGGTTCATTTGGGATATCACCCATGTATAGTACTGTATCAAGTATGTTTGCTTAACAGTGTATTTCTTTAAAACAGAAAATCAGAGCAGAACTGCTTGGCAACAAACCAAAAGCAGACAGTGTGAAACAGTTTATATACCCATGGCAGGGCATGTACATATATAGTTCATGCACATCTTGGTTGGACAACCGTAGAACTGCTTGTGCAATCTTCTATTATTATTTTTTGTGGATTTTTTTATTTTTTATTTTTTGCAAATCTGAAGGATCAAAGGAAATATACGGCTCTGCTTTCAGCAGGGCTAAGAAAGAAATGAAAGCAATTGTAAATTCTCAGCACACACTTTTCAGATTGCTGCACATTATA